TATATAAATGCTTGCAAACTATTTGTGGAAAAACTCCTGATGGTCACCGTTGTGATTTGTTAGTGAGTAACGAAAGAAAGCCGACCGCAGTACTCGACAAAAAGCAGCACGCAACGCAATGGCCAATATGCACCTGGCCCGAATGGCCATCTGCCTTTCGAACCAATAAGCAAACCACTACTCAACACCCAAGTGCGATCACTCATTCGACTCGATGCAAGTAAATCAAGAAACCAATGTTGGCAGCTAGGAATGGAACACTTGTAATAGCTATAATATCTACTTGACGGAGACATGCTAAATTGCTGTATTTATGGATGGATGAATGATGGCTATAAGTAGATATGTATGAGATATGTACTACATATTTGTGCGATATATAATACCTACCTCAACTATGCATGTCGCATAAACGGTGTTCATTCATAACTTACGAAGACATTCGATAGCATTTCAGGTTTCCCCCATCTGACATTATTCGTTAAAATACTGATTCAAGCAAAAGTTTAATGATTAGTGCAAATTCTTGAACATTGTCATCACATTTAGTATTCTGTAGAAAAGAGCAATGTTAAAAGATAGCAAGACAAAAGTTTTTTAAATGAATAATTGAAGCTGAATCAGAATGAAACTCTGAATCAGAATGAATCGAGGATCATCAACACTGTTCCATGGTGAGTGAGCTAATCTTAGAGGTACTTTCAAACGAACTGTTGAAAACGGCACTAACTACTAGTGGGTGAATTTATGCGAGGAATTTTGTAAATTTATTCACTGATAGTAATACGATGTACAATGAGAATGATTACGAAAACGCGAAAAGGGAATTTGTTTTTTCATTGAAACAGCTTTTGTATTGTCATGAACGAATGCCGAAAATGTGGTACTTAAATCTTATGACTGCATAAAAATCTTTGAAAAGTCAGAAGCAGTCCTAAATCAGATTACTAATCTCTAATTACTTATCTCTAATTCAAAGTTAACATAAAAACTTGCACATATATCAGTTATTTGTGTTAATGAGTGTGTTGGGTAGCAAAGACATCCGTATTGTTCGCATTTAAGATGCTCAACGCTTCATTGTGTGAATGTTTCAAGGCAGTCTGCGATAACGCTGCCTTTGGGCAATGTTAAGCAACGAAAGTTATTGATGCTGTAATGACATGATGTGCTAGAAAGAGCCACA